GCGGCGTGCGGCCAGCGGGACTGAAGCCCTGGCACACGCGGAGAGCCAGGATGCCCTTGGCTGGCGTACACCGAAAGGGCTGCTTGGAAGCGGGGAGTGCGATGTGCTCTGGTGAGACCCCCCCGGGGCACCAGGTCCGGCTCTGGACTGGGGGGCCAGACCTGCTCCGCCATCACCCCGGGGGCACTTTGGCCAGTCTCGGCATTGTCGGGGCACTGGCTTTCAATTCTGGTCTTCCCTGGCCACAGGCCCCTCCTTCACCCCCTGGGACTGAACCAGATGCCCTCAAAAACTGCCCCCGTTTGGGCAAAATTTGGCTGGGGAAGAAGACACGGGGATCTGTGCCAATGCAGGTGGATCAGACGCTCCCCGGCGAGGCAAACGCCACGGCTTTGCTCCGGGGTGGCGAGGAAGGAAAGGAGGTCTCCCAAGCGCCCCTTTGCCAGGACCGTGTCCTGGGGACTGCGCTCTGCTCCATCCCCGCCTCTCGGAAAGGCTGGGACGGAGGGAGAGGCGCGGGGGCAAAGGTGGCTGCCGCCCTGCGGAGCTCACCTGCAGGGCGTTTCTGCCTACGGAGCCAAGCACCAGCACAGCTCAACCCCCTCCAGCCTCGGGGCCTTTTTGTGCCTGACCAGACCCAAGATGCTGGAAATTGGGGTTTGGGGCCCCCAAAAATCACACCCCCAGTTACCCCCTCTGACGGCAGGAAAGGGTTTCCCTGCAGGCCCTGATGGCAGACAGGTGGCCAGGCCGGCAATGCTACGGATGTGCGTGGGGGGCCTCCCCGTGCCGCCACTCTGTCCAAAGGCCACCGAAATACCCCGCGGCAGTGGAGCCCCGGCCCCCACCTGGGAAGGTGACATCAGCCCCAAGTCACCCAGCCGAGGCGCCACAGCATCACCAAACTGAGACGTGATGAAGGGCGAGACGCTGGGCCATGGGCCACAGCACGGCGGGGTTTCTGGTTTCCCCTCCTGGGGCAGGCAGGTAAACCCCAAACAGCCCTGCAAAAGGGACCCGGGAAACTCCCGCCCACCCCGACAGCAGGGCCTCGGGGGCAGGCGATCCTTGGGATTTGGGGGGTCCGGGGAACCCTAGATGTGGGGGTAAAATGCCAGATGTGGGGAGACAACGCCAGCACAGCTCCTCAAATGGGTCTTTCCGCTCCAGGGAGGCAGCGAGGACACGGGGAGCTGCCACCGTGAAGAAGCCCCTCTCTGGTTAGCATTTTTGGGGACAGAAACTGCAGCAAACCCAAGCCCCTGTCACCGTCCTGAGCATCACCATGCACTGGCAGGAACAGCAAAGGAGGAAGCTGCGGTGAGCACAGGGCACAGCCCCATCCCAAGTGCCCCAAAGTGCTCTTGTCCCGGATCTTGCAAGAAACAGGGACGTGCACCCACCCCGGGTGCCCCTTCACCCCCTTGCCAGCTCCTTTCCCAGCTGCCACCCCCAAAAAAACAGGGCGAGAGCGCAACCGGGTCGCACTGGGGTCCGGCAAGACGAAACCCAGCCCTCTCGAAATCCTTCCCGTGGCCCCAAGGAACGCGTCCTTGTCAGGAAGCGAATTCTTGGCACTGGGAGCAATAACAAGAGGCGAGCTCGGCTTGCTCTGGCAGCTTGGGGCAGCGCCCAGCACATATTTCCCCGGCAGTTCCAAGCTTTAAAGCACAAACAAACACCGGCACATACTTGGCACCAGGCTGGAACAGTGCGTCCCTGTGCAAACACCCGGCCCTGGCCTCCACCGTGGGGTGGGCTTGAGGGGCTGCGAAATGGCTGGTTGGGGGTGGAAGACGCAGCGCAGAGGCTTCATTCAGGCAGCCCCAGGGAGGGGCAGTGGGTTCATTTGAACAGCGGCCCAACCCCGCGACACCATCGGCTGGGCTGTTACAGTCTAGAAAGGAACGGGGTGACGTCAAGGCTGAAAACCCCCGGAGTTAAAGCCTCCGGGATGGCTGCCAGTGGGGCAGTGTGGGAGGATGTCACTGTGGGGCAGCCCTGACCCCTGGGGAGGGCACCAGGAGCCCCTGCCCCACAGCATGGAGCAGGGGCAGGGATTTGTTTTGAAGGCAGGAGGGTAAAAACCATCTCCCCCTGTGCTCCCCGCAAAGTCTCTCAGCTGTGAGCCAAGGTGGCTGCTGGCGCCGCTTGGCCCCTGGCCCCTGTGGCTGCACAATGGGATGGACCCCATGCCCCCCCCCC